CATTTTTTTTCCTCCTCCTCCTTTTTTAAGCTCCTCAAATCACTATTTAGGTTAGAGGGACAAGGAATCTGGAGAGATTTGGGGGTGTATTTTTTTTTAAAGAAAAACATTGTGCATCTATATATTACACAACCTCAATAAGTACTCGTTGAGTGGATGAATGAATGAAACTTCATTTGGGAGAGGGTGTTCATTTCATTTCAAGGGCCAAGATAACCTGGCAATCTTCCATTTTTTAAGTAAAGAAATCTACCGTAGTCCATGCATTCATGGGCGCATTTATCATAGATCGATTGAATCAGTGCTGGAAACCAGGACTTACAAACCATTTGAGGCATGGCCACCCTATGTGGATCAGAAGAATAATTGCACTATAGGGGTTTTGATGCCTGTTTGTTGTTTGTTTGCTTTTAAATAAGTACATCACTGGGACTTTTCCCAAAATATCTCTAAGTGGACTTGAACCTCCAAATGTCTGATTAGCAGCCAAGCACATTAACCCTTTGTACCACCCAGGAACACCTAGGATTTCAATAGTCAAAGGTCAAGAGCGAAATAAGTAGTGGTCCTTACCCTTGTTATTGTGTTGTCAGGTGCCATCATCACGTCTGTCCGGACTCATAGAGACCCCAGCAATAACAGAACGAAACGGCGCTGGTCCTGCACCATCCTCACAATCATTCTTATGTTTGACCCCATTGTTGCAGCCACTTCTTGAGAGTCTTTCTCTTTTTCGATGCCCTGCTAGTTCTCCAGAGACCGGTATCTCCTAACAGCAGGTCCAAAATACCTGAAGCCAAGTCTCGCCACCCCTGCCTCTCAGGAGCATTCTGGCTGTACTTCTTCCAAGACAGATTTGTTTGTTCTTTTGGCAGTCCGTGGTAGTTTCAATATTCATCACCAGCACCATGATTCAAATGCATTGATTCATCTTCAGTCTACGGTCTTTAATGTCCAACTTTCACATGCATATGAGGCGTTTGAAAATACCCCGCTTGGGTCAGGCACACCTTGGTCCTGTAAGTAACCTCCTTGCTTTTCAACGTTTTCATAAAGAGTTCTTGTGCAGCAGATTTACCCATCCTTTGATCCTGCTACTTCCATGAGCATTGATTGTGTATCCAAGTGTGTTAGTCTGGGTACTTTAGAGAAACAAATACACAGGAACTCATGTATAAGAGAGAGTTTTATATAAAGGTTAAGTGCGCATCAACAAACATCCCAACCCAGTGCTACCCAAGCCCACAAGTCCAACATTAACCCATTAACCCATAGGTCCAACACCAATCCCCAAAGTCCTCCTCCATCTCGCAAAACAGACACAATGATGCCGACTGCAGGAGGAAAGCTGAGTCAGTGAGCGTGTAAGCATCTCAGTGCTGGCAGGGGTCTCCACACGGCTGCTACAGCACCCAGGGCTGCATCGGGGCAAGTCCATGTGGCTTCTCCTCCAGGACATCTTGTAGGAAGTGAGCCCCGCCTGTTAAGGCAGGGAACTGGCCAAGGCAGCTTCACCCTGGTCCAACCATCAGAAAGCCAGAGACTCGAGAACTCGAAAGGTGAGGCTCACCAAGCCATTTATCCCTCTGCCCTTCAATTAATCCCACATGTGTTTATCGGCCAGGTTGGCACAATAAACAAACTAA